GAAGCCCATGCTTTTTGGGGGGTCCTTTGTGCCCACGGTTCCTGTCCTGCCTGGATTCCACCAGCGTCAGCCCCGGTCTGAGACCCGGCAGGGATGAAACATGCCCACACAAGAAGCTGTGGCCAAAGGGCAAAGCTTTCTAGCAAGACCGCGGGCATCTCCAGCACTCCAAATTGGGTTTATGCAACACAGCAACTGCTCCCAAAGTGAGAATATTTCTCTGTAAATAGTTGGAGGTTCCTTTCCCTGAAATCTAGTGTCCCTGCAATAAAAGCAAGGTGCTAGCAAAACCACCCCTCGGTCCCTGCAGCCAAGGCTGGGCGATCACACCCTTACCCCCACACAGGAGGGGTCAGCAACCCCCCAAGAAGGGGACAATGGACACCCCCCACATGCAGTCAGACCCCCAAGACCCGAGGCTGGGCTGCTCCCCTCCCACTGCTTGTGAAGCCTCAAAGAAAAGGGCTTTTGTGTTGCTGCTCCCCAGGGACAGAGTTTAATGGAGCATGTAGAGGTAACAGCCCATCTTCACAGAGAGCGGTAACGTTTCCCTCTCCTCTTTCAGAGACATTTTCCTGCTGTGTTCGATGATGACCAGCCCGAGCACCCTCTGGGGCAAACAGGGAGACCAGCCCCACACACAGAGGTCTCCCGAGTGGGGCTACACGTGTGCCACGTGCCCCCTGCAAAGCCCGAAGGAGAAACCATCCCCTTCCCCTCCCAAGGGGCCGCACAGTGGGACAGGCTGGTCCCGGCACGGGAAGGGAAGGGCTGGTTTCATCTCCCAGCTGCTCGGCACGGGACGCAGGGAAGACGACTCCATTTCGGCTCAGGGCCGTACTCACCACGAAGGTGTCGTAGGAGAACTTGTGCCTGTGGAGGAGGTGCTGGAGGAAGTTGGCGCTTTTGTAGCTGGGGTCCCCCCAGGGCATGGCTGAGCAGACCGGGCACACCTGCAGCGAGCAGGGACAAAGGAAAACCGTGACTTGTGGGCACAGACACCTCCGCCTCGATCTCCCCAGGGGGGGCTGATGCAGCCAGGACATGATGGGGGGGTGATCAGCAGCCCTCCTCCTCTCACAGAGGACATCCTACAAAGGATGTGCTAAATAGGGGGTCCCACCCCCCCACGAGCACATCCCTCAGTGCACAGAGCTTCCCGCACGTGGCCCAGGCTGCTCTGAGCGCTCTGACAAGTCACTCGCTTGTGCACAAGTGCCTCTGAGCTGCAAGTCCCCTGCCTCGGTCAACCCAGCAGGGATGGGAGAGGAAATCCTGCACCACCCAGGTCGCAGGCGCAGGGGGATGTAGGCAGCTTGTTCCAAAGAGCCTCTAGCAAACAGAAGCAGGTCCCCACCTCCCATCAAAGGGATGTAAAACAAACTAAAGCAGCTGAAAACACAGCTGCACTTTACACACAGCAGCAGCTCTACATGCCGGTGGCCTCAGATGCAGCATCAGCTACGGTGTATTTGGACTTCCAGTCACCTTGTGCAGAACGAGCCCACCCCAGCATCACTCACCACTTTATTTGGGTCGTTGCGGTGGTTCTCCATGCAGTGTTTCACCAGCTCCTGCTGGTCCAGGTTCCGGGCCCCACAGTACGGGCACACGAACGTCGAGCGATTGGGAATATTGCTAAAGAGAGCAAGGACGAGCTCAGATCCCCCAAGAAAGGTCTAGATCTACTCCTTCCAAACTAACTCAGCCGCCCCCGCTCGGCTTTGTGCCACCCACCCATGGTGAAAACCAGCCCAGCCCATTCCCACCCCAGGCTGAACCACTCTGGTTTGGTCAGTCCTCCTTCCCACACGATGCTCTGAAACACAGGGCAGCGCAAGGGCTGCCGATCCCAGAAGGGAAAAGGTGCTGATGTTTCTCGCTGTGATTGCCCAGGGGAAAGCAAAACACACGCTTGGATCGTAGGGTTTGTAGCGAAGATGGAGGGACAGCACGCAAGGAGGGACACGTTTCCCTACCCAATATGCAGCAGTACCTGGGGATAGGCTGGGACGTAGGGACAACTGGAACAAACTTGGGGCAGTTGGCCATCTGCTCCTGCACCTTCGCGCAGGACGAGACGTGAGAGCGCATTTTCGCGAGGGTCACCTGGAGAACAGGGAGAGAAGAAACATTTCTGGAGGCTGCAGGAACACCTTTCCCTGCCAGACGCAGCGCTTGGAGCCTCCGCTGCAGCTCAGGAGAGCAGTTTTGGCCAGTCAACGTCAAAGCAAACGTTGATCTGCGTAGCATGACCCACACCAGCGTGAAAACGCTGCGCCAGATCATCCTTCCTCGCAGGACAGGGATTTGGGGCTGTGTGCTCGCTGCGCGCGTCCCCAGAGGTCACACGCAAGCCACCCAGGCTGCGTTACCGCAGCACTAGCTCCGTTCTCCTTTGCAAAAGGGGAACCGCCGACAGGTGGAAACCCCATACTGCTCTGACACCGGACAGGATTGTTCCTGCGCAGTAGCCAGGGAGTTACAAGAAGATCCCCAAAGTTAACGGAAGCCAGAAAGCACATGGAGACAGACCGGGAATCACAGCTTTACAGCCAGTCCCTGAGGCATCCCAGACCAGACTGGGACGCTGCTGGTTCAGCTCCCCTGCAGCCATCGGGATCACAGCACCTTAAGCAAGAGCTAAATCCTTACCCTCGTTAGGAGCAGCAGCAGAGCTGGCTTGTCTCAGCCTCTCCCGTGTTGCAGGAAAACCTCAGCCTGCTTTTGAAGGTCCCCAGTGTCTAATAATAGCTCCAGTCTGCTGACAAAGGCAGCTGGGAGAGAGCGCCTTCATCTCCACACAGCCCCGCTCGCCTGGCTCATGGCAGCAGCCGTGATACGCAGGGGACACCACACCTCACAGGCGCAGTTTGGGGACCTGCCGAACAGGGGACTCTGCAAACCCAACCGTGGACAGCAAAGCGATCTCCCTCCCGTGGCAGCCGAACAAAGCCATGCCCACGCAGGACGGGGACAGGTAGCCTTCCCCCGCGAACTTTACCTTCTTGCTGCAGCCTCTGCAGGGAGCCTTGTAGGATGAAAGCTGTTTCTCCACGCTGGAAGCCTTCTCCACCTTCTTGGGGTCGAAGGGCATGCGGCAGAGCGGGCAGAGCGGGGATGGCACTTGGAGGCAGGGCTGCAAGCACTCCCCGCAAAACCTGGGGGCACAGAGAGCAGCGTCGAGTGGCCCAGCTCAGGAGAAGGAGGGGAAGCGGGACCCCAGCCCCGGGGCACACCCGCTCTCGGGGACTCCTGCGCAGCCCCAAACCGCAGGGATCGGCATCCTCACTGGGAGGAACTGGACAGAACTGGGAGCCTGGGAGAGGGCACGGGGAGGCCAGGTACAGCCCAAGCCCCATAGGAGCTCCTGGCACAAACAACTGCTCCGAGACCCACGGCCGGGAGCAGATTTGAACAGAGCCTTGAACGGAGCCAAGCAAAAGCCGGTGCAGAGCATCCAGGCCACGTGGGACTAAAGTGAGCGAGGGCATTAGCGCCTGGCTCACCTCATTTCAAGGTCCTTACGCCTGCAGGAGCGCGGACGAGGAAGCGAAGCAGCAGAGAGGAAGAGCAAGCCCCGGGCATGAGGCAAAGCAGCTCGGTCCTCACAATGTCAATTGTCACAGAGTCCCCGTCCCCTCTGCCTGCTCACCCAGCTCACGTCACCCAGAACGGGGGAATGACATGCTGCTACGCCTCTGCCGCTGCATGGGGAGGGGGGAAGCCATGGTGCCCCTTGTCCCTGCTCCCCGGCATCACCTCTCTG